CCTTAGAAGACTATCGGAACGAAACTTCAACCAGAACAATACTATTTCACGGGGTTCTTGAAACTGAAGCATGTGATGAGCATGAAATAATAGCCCGTGATAAAGAACAGTGGTGTTAGATACATGAAACACTCTGCTTGAATGACGTGTTAGCGAAATCCGTGTCACGACTGCGTACCTCACCGAACTACAAAGGAAATGGGCCGGGAGTGTTGAAAGTGGTCCCTCAGGCAAAACATATGGTAGCACGGCTGCTAAAAAGCTGGTATATGTTCCGTTGCAGGTTACCATCTGAGCTTCGGCTGAAGACAGTCAGCGATATGCTTCCTAGAGATGATATACCACTCAAAGAACCAAGCGCGATGCGATTTATGTGAGAAAATGCACCAGTAGTGTATCGAATGAACCCATACAACCTGTAGAATATGATATTGACCAGACAAATTACACTGTATGTAGAAGATTAGACACGGGACCAACTACGCGGACTATGAATACGACGTTAAACCCTGCACCAAGCACACACCGAAAAAACGATTAGTCGCCGGCCACTTACTGATCAGCGAAACTTCACGTATAAATTGCACAACCACCGAAACATTGTTTAAATCTGAGAAACTTTCATGTATGTACACTAACGCCCAAGGGCTCCTCAGTAAAATTAACGAACCTCGTCTACGTCAGGTTGCGAATGGTTGGGACCAAATTTCTATTACCGTAACTTGGTTACACCAAGGGGGTGACTGATGCTGAGGTTGAGATGGCCGGAATGTCACTCATCCGGAACAACCGCCACAGCAGAAGAGGTGGGGTCCTACTCTACTACCGCAGTGATCTGCAATTTGCAATAGTTGAGGACTTGGAAACTCACGTTCTCGACTCACTGTGGTGCCGTCAACTAAGACACAACGACGCATGTCTCGTAACTGTCGTTTACTGCCCCCCAACATCCACTCCGTAAGTGGATTCCCGCTTGATACGTGGCCTGAACAGAGTAACACTCACTATGTACAACCACATTCTCAACTCCGGGGTCTTCAATCTACACGATCTTAAGGTCTCGGCATCACCCAGTGAACAGCTCGAAGCAGATTTGCATGAACTGATTGCTAATATTCCCTTGTACAATCATGTCACCACGCCCACTAGATTCAGGACAGCAAACAAACCGTCCATATTGAACCTTGTTCTCACGGATGAAGAGCTCATGGTTGACATGTTATTGATGGATAGTCCATTAGGTCTCAGTGACCATGTAGGAATAACGCTCAACTATGTATGTTATGCGGAGTATCCATCTTAACAATCGGAACTAACTCATACAGCCACACGCTACTACGTATTGAAAGAACTCGTCGACGCAGCTGCTCGGGAATTCTCAAACACTACTCCCCTTGACAACGTTTGAACAGAGTTCGTTGATAAACTCAGCGACATCGTCAACAGAGCATCAGAGATCAAGCCCCTTCGTCCCGCAAAAATGCTTTCAATTCTAAGAAGCAGGACTCGAAAATACCTGGCGATAAGGGATGCAGCATGGCGTGCCTACAAGATTAACCCCGACTCAGAGACTTGGGGTAATTTCCTGACTCATCGTAACCATTGCACTGCACTTGTCCGTGAGGACAAAGTAACTTACCAACAGTGCCTAGTCAAAAAATTCATGGCAAACAACAGACTGCTGTATAGGCATGTCAATAAGCTTCGTAAAGTGAAGCATGGAATCCCTCCACTTTTCACGACAGGCGGTAGAGTACAAAGCGCCGAAGAAGCAGATAATGCCCTGCGGACACAATACGTCAAAATTTTCGAAATCGCAGCGTCTACTTGTCCCATGATGTCATACACATTACCGAATCCACTGTTTACACACGTAATTTTTAACCCGTCAATTGTGCTAAGGAAGCTACTCTCATTGAGCAATCATAGCTATCCGGAAGCAGACAACATCCGCCCGGAGGCACCGAAGGTTGTGGCTAACAAGCTAACTGAACCACTGTCACAGTTCTTCCAACGGTGCTTTGATGAACAACAAGTCCCCACCACGTGGAAGCGTGGCATTATCATCCCAATTTTTAAAGGCGGTGGCCGTTCAGAGCCTGCAAACTATTTCCCAGTGACTCTCCTCCTTGTGCTCAATAAGGTGATGGGAGCAGTCGTCGTGGATGCTTTAATGGACTACCTGGAAAAATGCAACATCTTGGCACCGGAGCAGCATGGCTTTCGTCAACACCGGTCATGCACCACCAACCTACTGATTGCACGAGGTAGTTGGACGGAAGTGGCTAATGATGGGGTGGGCGTTGACGTCATCTAGCGGGACTTCTTCAAAGCTTCCTACCGGCTGGATCACCGCACCCTACTTCACCGACTACAGAGCTACGGAATCGGAGATCCTATACTTGGTTGTATTGGCAGCTTTCTTCACCAACAGAAGCCTCAAGTACGCGTTAAAGGATCACTCTCCAACCCGAATGAGGTAGAATGTGGTGTCCCCCAATTCTCAGTGCTGGGACCGTGCTTATTCCTGGTGTTTATCAACGATGTGGCAAGAGTTATCTCCTCAAATTTCCTGCTTTTCGCCGATGACGTCAAGATATGGCGGGCAGTTAGAAACAATGGAAATCACATGGCCTTAATTGCATTTATGAATGGTCAAAGAGGAACCTGCTCCAGTTGAACATAGCTAAGTGCAAGGTGATCCGTCTGCGTCACCAGCCGGTGAGCGCTTACAAGCTTGGAGACCATACCTTGCAGAAGGTCTCTCAGGAGTGTGATCTAAGTGTACTGGTACAGGTAGATCTCGGGTGTTCAAAACAAGCAGAGTAGGCGAGTAGACCTGGCAATCAACACTTCGGTCTGCTTCACAGAGCCTTCGGTCGGTTTGAACCATCAATCTTTCCCCAAATGCTTAACGCCTACGTGCGACCGCAAGTGGAATTTGCTATCCAGCCGTGGCAGACGTGGTAGAAACGGGATCTCGTTGTTCTCGAGACTCCTCAACGAAGGGCAACCAAAAACGTCAGGGGCCTATTTCATCTGCCATATCAGTTTAGACTGAAATCGCTAAGAATGTACACCAGGCGATATTGGCTTTTGCTGGGGGATCTCATAATGATTTACCAGATTCTGAAGAATCCAAACCACATTTGCCGTCCGCTGCTGGATTTGAACCACAACACTAACCTAAGAGGTCATCCTCTGAAACTGACAATACAGTATAACCGGCTTGAATGTCGAAGAAATTTCTTTTCTCTCCGCGTGTGCCAGCCATGGAACGCCCTGCCTAATTATGTCGTCTCTGCTCGCAATCTGGCGATATTAAAAAAACGAGTTGATGATGAGTTATTTCATTTACATTTCATTTTATGAATCGTTAGCCAGGAGCTATAAAACGCAATCAAACGGTGTCTTACCAGACTCCCAACTAATGGATTTATAAATTTATGTGTTTAATACGAGAACATCTCCGCTGTTCTACATAAGTTTATGGTGAGTCCACCAAAGAGCTTTTCACTTTAGCATGCAATTAATTTTCGCAATAATTTCCATCACACGGCACCTGTTAAGCAATGCCTTTTACCAGTAATAAACCATTGTTCCATTGTAAATGTTAGAGAAAACACCAACAGTTCATACTGGGTAGCTATTCTCATGCCTACAAAAGTGGCTGTTAGCCTAACCTCCAAACAAAACCTATACACGTTTTTAGTACTATTGTGCATGAGGTTTAATCTGACTCTATTCAGTTTGTGGAAGTTCATACTGAAGTTTAGACAACGCATGTGCATCTGCTGGATTCGTACTGCCACTAGACATGGATGACGCCAATCCATATATATATATATATATATATATATATATATATATATATATATATCGATTGAATTTGATGAGCATACTCATGCCGTTTTTGTACGGCTAACTTAGTGCAGAGAAGTGGCGCTGTGGCAAAGCGAAAATGACATTACCAGAGCATGAAGAAGGTGAGTTGATGACAAACTCATGTTGATTTCAGGTGTTGCGAATGCAAGTCAGATTTGATTGATGCGAACTCCGTGGACTGATCATAAGGGCGGTTACTCAGGTGCAGGAGAAGGTACTATTGCACGAGGAATAGAAGTATGATGCGTACGCTCCCATTCGATTTACTAATCCAGACCGATAAGACGGTGAATGTGGTACGTTTACCTTGGTGATGAGTATTTTTGCGTTTCAGAACCAAATGTTGATTGTGCTGCCCGGTGTGGCAGTGCCTGTTGTGAATGTTGACAAGGTACCTACCTGTCTATTACGCTCCACCTTGATTGTTGGCTCCAGGAGAAAGTTGGTCGTTGCTGGAGGGCACGGAGTGCACCGTCCTCGTGACGGTGCTGGGCTCAAAGATTGGTTCCATCCTGTGTGGAACGGGCTATGGCATGGCCACCGCCTTGTGTACGTCTGGTGTGAATGATTTCCCAATTAGACCGGAATGCTTCCGTTCTGTTTGTTGTAGGAGTTTGGTCCGGCTCCGCTGATGAAATGTGGTTCTCATCCACATGGCGCCCGGTCTTATTTCTTCAGATTTATACCGGATATTGGGTGTGCGGGTGGAACTGTGGGTGGTGCAGCGCGAGGGATCCATTGTCCCTCTGTAGGCGCAGGCGTCCTGTGGCTAGCCACAGTGGCAGGCAAATCCGGATACGGATGTCGCCAATCCATGGTACATAAATAAAACATTTTAATTCTCAGTGCGGTACTCGACACTTGACAATGATTTAGTTGCTTCAGAACATGGTGTACTTGGTTAAGATGTGAAGAAATTGGTAGATGCGCCTCACCTCCTAGCGAACGACATCAAACGTAGTAACGCTTTATCTTTAATATTTTAATCCTGGTGATGCATATACTGGTTTACACTCGCACCATAAAAGGGTTGGGCCAGCGAGAGCGTTTTGGATTTCAGGGCTAAATAGCTACGTTATCAAGAGTTGCTCGGCCGACAAAGTCACCGAGCTCACCTGTCGCTTTCCAATAGCAGCTTAAATGAGTCTGATGTTGTTGCCTCGTTTCTCGTGTTATCCGAACTCTGTACACTTCCTTCCGTTAAGTGTACATTTTGAGTCCTCATCCGTTCTCCCTCCAGGAACCCTCTTTCAGATTCTTCAAATTTTATCACCGCCTGCTCTTTGAAGTAGATGTCAACGGTCACTGGACTTTTGAAAGGGTTCGGCACGGCCAACATCGTCGTCGTAGCTGCTCCCAAAGCTGCGTGGATGCAGAGAGGATCACGCGGTTGAGGAGGTAGACCGATGCCACGTAGGAGAAATGTCCATTTTTGGAGCTGCGTTAAAAATGGGTAGTATAATTAAACTATCGCGTCGTTCCTTCATCAGTTGACATGATACAAGAGCTTAAAATAACCCGACTAGCTAAGTGGGTATGCACTGGGGAGGTCTTGTTCTTTCGCGCAGTAAACAAGTACAATACAAATGCACTGATAACCAGCTACACTAGTAGCTGCAGTAATCACTGGTTAGGGCGTGCATGGTGCGTAAAACGACACGACTTTCACCGCTTGGTGCTTGCTTTTGAGATGAGTCGCATCTCTTTGGAATTAGCATAAGTTGGCGTGTTTCGTGACTATGTGTTCATCCAGCTCTGTTGATGAAACGCGGCTACCAACTATATGTCTCCTGGTCTTATTCTTTCGAGTTTAGGCTGGATATGGGGTGTGTGGTTGGAGCTGTTGGTGGGGCAGCGCAAGCCACCCATGGTCCCTCTGTAGGCGCAGGCGTCCTGTGGCTGGCCGCAGTGACAGGTAAATTTGAAACCGGATGACGCCAACCACAACCATATGCCTCCTTCATTTGAGTACGTCATACAGCTATGCCATCGAGTCAATGAGTAGCTACTCGTCCGGCCGCTGGCATGCCATTCATGAACCGGATCAACAGAATCTGATTCGTTCCATTCATCTTACAGCAATGCGTTGCAGGTCACTGTGCTTGCCATATTTTGTTTTGGGCTGAGCGTATGTCTCTTCTTGCGCCTTTTCCTATGCAATTGCTTAATCGTTCACTGTGGCGCAGCGGTTAGCCGTGCGCTACCGCCCCATTCGGCTTATCCTTAACGTTCGGGAATCGTTTGTTCTTTTGATTTAATGCTCAGCCAAACTTTGTGTAAGACTACAGGGGCACAATTATCTATAAGTCAATAACCCCGTTCAGCGTCGTTGCTGCAACAGGAAACCTCATCTACCATCCGGAACGCATCATGTTGCAGAACCGGTCAAAATCAACCCTTAGCTTCAAGATGACGGCGCATCTCCCTTCTATGGTTTTTTAGCCAGAAGGTTCCATTTAGGTCACCCTCCTAAACTTCATTTGTGTATCAGCTAGTCTGCAACCACCTGTCAAAAATCATAATGTGGACCATCAGGACATTTCCATGGACTCCAACGTTGTGAGTTACCTTGTTCGAGTAAAACGTGATTTCCCCTTCGTGCGCTTGTTCACCAATATCGCATGGTGTAAATTTGACACCAAGCCTCAGAGTAGATTCTGCCTCCAGAAATACATTCATACACGTGGTATCTCTTGATGTGTTGTATCCCGCGGTCTGCTCATCGTAGTTCATTGGCGACGTCTCGAAATCATCCTCCTTACAGGTGGGGCTGTGTTGCGAGCGCGCTGAGTCCAATACGCTTTGTTTGCCAATCCTACTCGAGTGTCTGGACGAAATGCGTGCCAATTGCTTTGTTGTTACACCCATATGCAACATGAATACTTCACAGTTTGTCAGCTGCGGTTGCAGTATATATGATTCACCGGTTGGATTGGACAGCACGAGACTGGTAACCTTTGACCTGTGGATCAAATTTAGGGAATTCATCTAAGCTGACATGTATTCCATGTTTAGCGGGGTGTGATTCAGCTAATTATCACGCAAGTATTATTTATTTGCTTAGCAATTTCAGCCAAGTTGTCAGAGTTGAAGGATGCTGCCCCTGCTATCGACCGCTTGCTGACGAGGCGAATCTATGTGGTCCTATAGGTAATGTTGCCGATTGTTCAGAGACATGGGGCTGCCGTTAGTTGGGTGGAATTGATAAATTCACTCCGGTTAACGGAATTATCTGGTAGCCAATATAGAAGGCCATGAACAATTCTCTATGCATATACAGGCTTATCGTCTTAGTGGATGTAAAGCGCGCACAGAACCGTTTATATAGTTTTTGTTCACCGTGTCCAGTTTTAACAAACGGTACCGCTCTTCTGCAGTCCTGTGCCAGCTATGTTGACACTACACTCACGAAGGTGACGCTGAACACGTCGGTGTGGTGTCAATGTTTAGATTGTCTCCAACTGTCCAAGCGACACCGTCTATCACCCTGGTACTCCTCACCTCGGTCTTCCGATGGAAGCAATGCCCACTCTGATAAGCGACGTGCTGTTATGAATGACAATTCTTCGCTAGTAGCGAGTAATCAGCTCATACACAGATGACCAACTGTCCGATGTCTTGGCGATTTTTATCCTAAAACCTATCTGTGGACTTCGTTGAAACGTTTCGTAAGGTTAGAAGGTCATCCTTTTACGTCTTCAGACTTAAAATGCTTTAGGTAAATCGTGGTTTGCTTTTTACCTCTGTGACCGTATGCATTCTGCCATACCGTTTCCCTGCACTTTTCCTTGGGTTACTTAAAAAAGACCACACATTGGTTTTTATGGTCCATAAAGCTTATTTCTAGATTCAGTGGATTGTCTAGAGATGCACAATGCTTTTGTTGTCAACAAGCATCTAGACGCCTGTACCAGTTTCTTCCAAAACCAAAAGTACTCTTTCCACACACTATTTTGTGATCCATAGAAAACGCTGTTCCATATGCACGCTCTATTTTATCATACTGCATCTTACCATAATTCAACCTTATCGTACTGTCACGCTTACCTGTCGACCCAACTCAAACCATCCATATGGAGTACGATTGCTTGCTGGGCTGATGTGCGTAGACACGTTCCATTATACTTTATCTGTACTTTTGAACACACGTCATGTGTCTTCCCATTTCATTTGATTTGTTCTGCTTACCGGAATAATCTTCTATTAAATTTGCACATTGCTTACGGTAATTGTGCTTATCTTCGGTAACTTTATTGCGTTTGTAGCATTTTCTGAGTCACTTCTGGGCATTTTTTGCTTATCGTGGATTCGTTGCTAACCAACATATGCTAATTTAGGGAAGAGTTATATCTGCATAGCCGTATTCTTTAACATAAATATTTTATTTGTTACTGTTATTTCAAGTGATTGGCTGTTGTTTGATATCCCCGGTGCGGCTGCGCTTGATGTGCAAATTGACAAGGTGTCTGTCTGTCTGTCTATTACCCACTACCTCGTCCATACTGTCTCTAGGACATAGTTGGTCGTTGCTGGAGGGACGGAGTGCACGGTCCTTGTGTTTGTGCTAGGCTCGAAGAGTGGTTCCATGCACTTGGTGTGGAGAGGACTACGGTCCAGCCACCGCCTTGTGTGCGCTTGATTCCCCAAATACAGCGTGCTTGTGTTTGCCTGTGAAGGAGTGTGGGCCGGCTCCGTTGATGAAACGTGGCTCCCATCCACATGCCTCCCGGTCTTATTCCTTCGGGTTTACACTGGATATGGGGTGTGTGGTTGGAGCTGTGGGTGGTGCAGTGCAAGCCATCCATGGTCCCTCTGTAGGCGCAGGCGTCCTGTGGCTGGCCCCAGTGACAGGCAAATCCGAAACCGGGTGCCGCCAACCATAAGTCTTCCCATTCGCAGTGAGAGTGCTGAAAATGTGGTCACCCAGGTGCATGGAACCCCCACATACGTGATTTGAATACAAGTAAGCGAATCCGGAATTCGGCCATCCGCCTTCGCTCATAGTTTATACCGCATCGGTATACCAGTGTCGCCATTGAATCGCGTTCAGCTGCACACTCCCTTGGAGATGCTTGTGCATATTGACGAAAGTTCCAGTGCTTGACTCTGCTGCCATTGTTGCCACTCATCGTTGATTCGGCGTTTCATGATAGGTTAGAAGTAAGCAGTTATTTTGGAACCCCCGTCAACGCCGGTAGAGGTGTGTCCCCATGTTCACTTTCGATGTTTCTTAAACATTTACCGATAGATTTGGATCATTGTGAAATAAGTGGAAGGGATAAGGGGTAGACGGAGCGGTTCATACCTCCATAGAGCCAGTTAGAATCAATTGTTAGTTGCGACGTGTCGTTGCAGCGAACCAACGCAGTATAGCCGCTAGATTAAAACCAGTGGAAGTAATTTGGTGAGGCACACATTAACTTATACCTTAGTATTGTATAGTTTTGAAATACTAACTCCTGAGTATCCATATGTATGTTGTACTTATCTGAATATTCCGGTACGCATATCCATGAGAAATCGACTGATCAAATGGCTCACGGGTAATCTTATCTACTTGATTGGCGCTGCTCTGAAACACAAATTCTGTTTGATCGAGTAGGGTAACTCACTTGCCAAGCTCGCATTCTATGGGTGGGACCCAAACGGTTCTTGGTCTTGTTCCAGCCAATTTCAGCGCGATCCAAAATTCCCCACAATCTTGGTGATAAAAGGCAATACTGCAATTTGTAAAACAAACAAAACACATATGCGGCTTGGAATCTAATTGCGACGAAGCAAATCGAATCATACCGAAATCCGTCTACTCATTAGTAATCAAACCGTAAAACTGTTTAAATTCAGGTAGAAGCTGGCGCATTTAAAATAAAATGCCATTTTTCACCTTTGGGTAGGAAATACGAAGAGTGCTAGATAAACATTTGCCATTTACTGCAAATTAGCTAGACCGAGATGATCAACATAAGTGTCTTGGTTCTGGCAAAAAGGATCAGGGAATGTGTCGACAGTTTTGGCAACCGTTATGGGATAAAATAAACAGAAAATTTTCTTTGTCCGATGAACCTGTATGTAGGATGCTTCAAATGTTTCTCCTGTGCTCTGTGATGTTACCAGGAAACTGAAAAGCGGCAAAATGTCCACCAGGATTAAACAAAGACTTATAAATGTCCTGTTGTATTTAACCCCTTTTCTCATGCACCAGTACCTTTGCCTCTGGTGGGGCTGATTTTGATGAAGATAATGAGGTTGTCTGATGCACCATTTTGAAATATATTCGGAACCGATTGAGCACTGGTTAATTCAGAAGGGTTTGAAAACAATCGGTTAATATTTTTGGCCGACCACATGTCGCTTTTGCTACAAAAGCTTCGTCAGGCCGAGTGAATTGGTATATACCTGGCTTGGCATTTATAGCACACTGGGAGCATAACCACAATAAACGAAGGATGTGGTAGAGAGTAAGCATCAGCATAGATCGACGCATGGTCACAAGTCTCAATGTGCTACAAATGCCAAGACAATTATGTACCAGCTCACTCGGCCTGACGAAGCTTTCATATCAAGAACGAAATGGGGTCAACCAAAAATATCAACCGGTTGTTTTCAAACCCGTACAAAATGTTCTGATGTCTCTGGTGTTATTTTAATGCATGTTCTCAATTCGGGTCGTCGTGCAGCCCTCCTAGGATCAACAAAGTCTGAGCTAAGAGCAGAAAATGGGCATATTCTACCGTGTATAAATTTGGGTTCTGGTTCCAACGATACACCACAATCGCGCCGTGTTGTCCGCCTGCTCTGCACTCAATATCCTGTCCGCCCTGGTTTCACTTTTGCTGCAGTTTAGTTATACGTTTCGCATCGCCCTCCACTGCGGATAAGCCTGCAGACTTGAATTGCGGCAGCAGTCGACCCGTTCTGCTGATACTGTTGTTCCTCAAGGTGCAGTCTGTTCACCGAGTTGTTTTCTTAGTCGCACTCGATTATGTCGGATGACGCTATTCCAGATTTTCAGTTTAGTGCTTATCTCTCCCCTACGACTTTCAACTGTTTCTCCTCCAAGGTCCCTCAGTTCTGGGTATTGATTCAACCCATACTTAGCCTTCAGACGCTAGAGGTAAATGCAATTTTCCTCCGCGATCGTAATAACACTTACGTCGCAAAATATTTTTGCAAACGGTCTCGCATAAGAGCAGTCGAAGTCCCTTCTGGTTGTAGGTAAGCTTCAGTTGCTAGTGGCAACATCGTCGTTCTCCGATCGAACAAACGCTAAGCTGGACTTGTTCCCATTTCAACGGAGGGTGTGTTTCTCCGTTCGAACAACGCGATGTATTGGTTTTCGTGTGTCACTCTAGTTTTAATAAGCTATTTTTGCTTCCTTGATAGCTGACGCAGCTTTTTGTATAATTGGCTATATCACGAGCCGACGAATCAGTGGACAAAATCCCGGTACTTGCTGAACTGGCGGAATTCTGCACCCTCAAATTGTGGTTCGCTGTCCGAAATCACCTCCTTCGTTATCCCATGTTTAATGAATTGGTATCCTAGCTTGTTTGCGACGTCTTGCACGCTGGTCGAGTAAGGGTAGCAATATCGAAGTAGTCAACTAAAATGAAGTAATTTTTCCCGCTGAGTGAAGAAGTTAAAAGCACCCTTTTGCCAAAGCCTCTACGACTTCAAGAAGCATCATTAGCTACTTCGGTTGGCGCACCTCATGTGTTCGGCATACTACTCAGTTCGAAAGATTCCCGGTCAGAATATCATTCCTCAAGCTCTCGCTATGCAGTTGTTGACACCAAAGTGCGCAATGTTCAAGATCCAGTATAGAGTGCTACATTATCTTCAGTACAAGTTTTCAGTTACCTTTAAGTATTAATCTTCCTCGAGTTCTGAGTTCGTATAGAAAATGTAAAAAAGGAGGAAACTCCTTGATCAGCAACTTGTTACTTCCGGTCAACCGTCCGCCTGAGCAGTTTGCATAGCTCACCCAGATGAACTTCATCATTAGACAATTTGTCAAGTTCAGCCTTCAGACCAACAGTCAGTAACAGAGCATGTGTGCTTGTTCGGTGACAGATACGCGTTTAGTTGATGGTAATAGTCATTCTTCACCGAGTCCGCGCTGCAATTTGTGAAGGCGTTGGCAACGATGAAATATAGACACCTATTGGCCCGGCGAGACTTTGAAGCTTTGGACGACCCAGTCAGTCGAATAACGCGCATCCGGCTGTTGATGTGCATCCATTCGATAAAGGCAACTTCAGCCAAAGGGCTCAGAGCAATGCCCACGCTTGCTTGGCCAGCATTTGAACCTGCATTATCGCCGGATAGACGCAGTGAGAATGTACCATCGGTGTCACATGGAGGAAATCATAGGGTGAGCACGAAGCCCGGGTCTTACAGGCAGATTTCCGATAAGCAAATACCCCTATCCACCCCACTCGACGCAGCAGATAAGACGCCGTTGACTATCCTCATCGACAGCCAGAACATCACTAATCATTTATGGAAGAGTTGATCATATTACCTAGGCTGAATAATATAAGGTTGTTAGGGCCGCTGAAGTTGGTTGTACACATGGGCGCCGCGGAGTTTTGAATCACCATGTGCTGGATAATACTTTCGTTTCGGATTACGGTGTTATAAGTGTTTTTCTGTGTGAATTGTGCACCAATATTCGTCTTTAGGTGTATTTTTCAATCGGTGAATATTTGGTGGATATTCTTTGGCTAATTCCGGAGATCTGTGTCCGCCATCTTGGATTTGCTCTACCTTGTGACGTCTCAGGCCACTTGTGCTTCGTGTTCGAAAGTTGTTGGACATAAGATTCATGCACTTTGGCGCTTCGGCTGTGATGTTTTGTTCCATAGTTCGTGGACTGGCTTATCCGTTGACGTGTTTCGAAAATCTCTCGACATCCGACATCGGTTTTTCCATGTCATATGTGATGAATGTCGTGGTGCAAGACATCAAAATACACAGCGAACGCCAACAACTACGGGAAAATCTCGCTTCCAGACAGAAACAGACCGTTCACCATGTGGGGCCAAACGTCCTCATGAAAGTACCTCTGTTACCTCGCCTTCCCTTATCACTCCGCGATCTGCACCACCAACAGCGTCTTCTACCCCGGCAGAGCCTCAGGTTCAATGGCCCCATCGAGTGAAGACTCAGAATCGGAACCTACGAAATGTGACTTCACTGAACGGTCCGTGAATTTCTCAGAACACGTCGCGTTATCCGGATACCCTTGTTTCCGATGCGACCTAAAATCGAAGACTCACGATAGTGTTCTGCTGTACATAAAATCGTCACTAGCTGGCAAAGTTACCAGCACCTATCGGAGCGAGGATAACTTATGCGAGCAACTGTGGTGCACAATCCGCCTCAGACACACAGAACTAATAGTGGGTGTTATCTACCGTAGCCCAGTAAACCGTTGTTGTGAATGGTTACCACATATACAGCAACACATGAGCCACCATCATTTCTTACTGATGAGGGATCTAAATTGACCTAAGATATTCTGGCCAGACGTTCGGCTTCTTCCCAGTCATGGTGACGTTGAGATTCAATTCCCTAAAATGGCTATTGAAATCGGGGCAACGCAACTTGTCATCCAACCGATGTGCGTAACTCCGCACTCGGCATCTTGTCTAGACTTCAAGTTTACGAGCTGCGAGCAGAAGCTAAACGAGATCAGAGTCCTCGAACCTCTAGCGAACAGTGAGCACTGCTCCATTTTGGCAAGCACAGAACTGCCGTTACCGTATTACAATCAACGGAAGCCGACATTCAACTATTGGAAGACGGACTTCAACGGGCTCGTCCAAGCCTCAAGTCAGACTGATTGGACAATATCCCCAAATGCGTCGCTTGAGGCTTGTTGGTCATTAACAAAAGGGCAGCTTAACTCGTTGTGTACTCGGTTCGTTCCCCTGAAGTATTCAAAAGTCGGACCTGCCAAACCTCATTGGTATGATACGGAATATAAACAGTTAGCCTGACGGCGTCGCAAACTTTGACATAGGTACATCAGCTTGGGTTGTGATGAAGATTACACGATGTACAAGGAACAGCGTAATTTATGTAAGGCAGCGAATATCAAGAAACGCCGGCAGTTCGAAGAGGAGCTAGCGTCCTCGGCAACAATTGTACCCAAAAGAATATTAGCCTACTTGAAACGCCAACTGAAACCCGGGGGCTGCCCGGTTCACCCAGCTGCGTCAACAGAAAGAACTCGCACCGGCTTTGCACACAAACGCTCTATTCCCATGTCGCACGCAAAGTACAACTAACTGTGTGTTTAAAAACGCACCTGCTCACTCGATCGATCGCCTGATCGAGCACACTGCGGCAGGCGATTCCATTATCCCCAGCCGCCAGCCCCATCACAGGGACTTGGATGGACAGACGCACAAATCAAGCGCGGAGCGCGCGGACGCCTTGGCTACGCACTTCCTCACCGTATGTTACAGTAAAACGGCGGCTGTTCCATTACCGGCACAGGTTGCGCCAGTCTTGCTCGACAGCCTACAGTGTGATGCAGTCGAAGTGTCTCAGCTACGCGTCAACCTCGATGCTGCAAAAACCCCCGGACCAGACGGACTTCACGCACTAATACACAAGTCCCTATCGAATATCATCTTACCAGCCTTGACAAAACTGTTCAATAAATCACTCTCTGAAGTATCTGTCCCCAACGACTAGAAATGCTCGATAGTGAGACCGCTTCCCAAGGATGGTGATCCGAGTAAAGTATAGAACTATAGACCTATCCGTTTGACTTCGATATTATTCAAAGTTCCCGTGAAGGTTATGAAAAAGTGTCTGCTGTCATCCTTTGTGTCAATGGACATATTGACGCCAGCGCAACACGGCTTAAGATAGGGCTATGCTGCATCATCAACTTAATGTACGCAAGCCCCCAATGGGTACGAGGTCTCAACGAACGGAAGGAGGTTGACGTGGTGTACATTGACTTCGGTAAGACGTTTGACAGAGGGAATCACGAAGTACTCCTTCGTAAACTGAGGACCTACGGAATCGGTGGTACGCTACTTCAGTGGTTACACGAATTTATTGTGCGACGAAAGTTTAGATTACAAGTCAATGACTACCTGATAGACCGGTTCACATCGACCAGTGGCGTGCCTCAAGGAACTGTACTTGGACCTGTGTTATTTCTTATTAATATCAACGATCTCCAGCAGCAGCTCCATTTGCCCTGTTTGCAGATGATTTGGAAATTTGGAGATCATTGAGAACCAGGACGACTGCGCTCGCCTCCAGCATGACTTAGGTCAACTGTCAACGTGGTCCACTGAAATGAAACTCCCTCTTAATGCAAACAAGTCGGAGTTCATCACCAGACGTCCAGCCACTCGCTCATACACTTTGGACGGCCAGTTGCTCCACCCTTACACATCTGTCAGAGACTTAGGAGTGCTCTCGTGACCTGATTTGAGATCACTAGAAAATACGGAGAAGTTGTACCGTGCGGGACTTCGTATGCTCTGGGCATTACGACGCAGTTTCTCCTGTTCCGAAGAAACCGTCCCTCGCCTATTCACGTTGCTCATTAGACTAATGCTTGAATACCACGCCCAAACTTACCACCCGATAACGCAGTGGTAAACTAAAAAGCTGGAGAAAATACAGCACATCGCAACTAGAATGATACCAAGTCTAGGAAAGCTTCCTTATGAAATACGCTGTGCAGGCTCGGACTCTACACTCCATCCTGCCACCAAGTAAGAATTGACCTTATTATGACCTATCCAGTACTACATTTGAATCACTTCCCCGTGTTGCGGCCAATAGTTCACCTGCGGGAACCCTGTAACACATGAGAACACCGTTACAAACTCAGGGTTCCCTGCGTGAACAAGATATCATATAAGCTTTGTATAGAACGAAAAATCGTAAACTTATGGAAAGTACTGCCAGAAGGGCTAATGGAGGCCGATTCTGTGAAGCGTTTTAAAACAGGTATCGACGATTATTCCGGAAAACTGTGCTTTTGTGAAACGGTACACATACAACGCAAAGAAAACATCATATACCCGGAACTAATGACACCAATACGAATTCCTAACCGAACAAGAATAAACCATTAACTGACCAAACGCTACCACTGCCGATTGGCAATTAAATCTTTGATTTTTCATAATTCGATAGAGTTGTACAGAAACCCTTCTACTTGATCCTAAATACAATCTCAGTCTCATGAACGTCAAAAGCATAAGTAAGGTTGCTTAGAGTAATTTCCTTCTGATTTCACCAAACACCGGATCCGCGGATAACCGAGGATAAATCAGGTTCTTAAGAATCGCCCTCAAATTGCATTGCCTCTAATGCGGGTCTTGCCTCGTCTCATAACGTATGCCGAAACGTAGCCGATTGATAGTCCCGTGATTCGTTGTCCAATGGCCTCAATAGTGCTTTCTATACTCGCCTGTTCTCAGATAGCAAACACTCCATCATTTGTAGGGGGGTCAGCGTCGCAACTAACAGTAGTCAACCGATTACGGGATGTTGCTTGTTTTAAAGTTTCTTCTTTTCCTCTGACGTTATGTGTTGTTGTCCTTCTAGAATCAAAAATAAAATCTTGGCTGAGATCAGAAATGTACTATTATGTACAAAGTGGCATGTACTATCGTTTATAACTCTGGATCTTGGTTCGATCGATACACTTCCATTGCACTGTATCTGGAGTCACTATCGCAGGCCACGATTTCCCGTATCTTATACTTCGGCCCCTTGAACTGGGAATTTAAACGGAGTGATCGGCACTTAACGCCTTAATCATGAGGCCATCGGGTTGAACTAGGAAAGCTGACCTGTTGGCGAGGAGTACGTTTCTGGGTTCCTGGAGCACACGTGGTCGAGTTGCCCTAGGGGAGTCACGAAAGTCTGGGCGGCGATCACAAATCCCTAGTAAGAGGATTCGTGGTCCTTCATAGAGTAGCTACAGTATGTTGCTGTTTTCCGTTCACTGGCTGCTCCTTGTTAACCGGCGCATTGGTTCGTGCTCGTGCTCCAGACAGACCGGTGCACACTTACTGAGTGCATGGTTATGTTGAGCCTCGCAGTTGCAATCCCGGATAGACTGCGCAATGGCGCCTGATTGGCCGGCCGCCCATTTAGTTGATCCTACGATTGGCTATTTGCCACAGCTGCGCGTGTTGTTAACATGGGCCCAGATGTATGCCATCCGGTCGCCGTACGGCCGACCAATTCGCTTCTCATCTGTCCGAAAGCACACTATTTCGCCCTTGCACTGGGCTGAACCAGTCGTGCGTGCTCAGCTTTCGTCAGACTGGCGCCCTGTTCATCGGTACCGCGTCGATTCCATTCACCCCTGTCTCATTCACCATGATACTCGTCATGTGGTTGAATCACAGCACGCGACCCCGTTTGGGACCAAGACTTATGCTTAGTGATCAGGGCGTTGGCCACCGCGCCCAAGGTCCCATTTCCAACTACGGCTATCCCTGCCTGATGCGTTCAAGCAGGATGAGTTTGGTCGTGTAGTAAAATGTTGAGAGCGCGCAACACCAGAACTCTCTATTCTGTATACAGTCCCAATGATCGTCATGGCTCAATTTGACCTCATAGTGAACCGTGATGCCAACTTAGATTGTGTGGCATAATCCATACAAATGGCGAGTACCCCAAAAACAACGATAAGCCTAGGTACTTTCAATCACTGGTTGTTGCTCGCCACGAGTACTGTACTCTGCCATCTGTTACTTTCTCGTTTGAACTCTTCGGCAAGGGGTGACCGGAGATGGGACAAAACTGGTCGCGGAGTTCTGAAGTGAAAGCGAACAACATAACAAAACCTAATATTTAATAATGGACCTCATCGCAGTGAAGCCATTCGTAGAGTTCGGTATGATTCCTTCATGTTTCCGTGGACGATAAGCGCCTCTTGGCACCGCATGCGGAATACTCTAGATGAGCTTGGCAGATGCGCGACCTCACTGTGTTTGAACTTTTGGAACATACTTGGAACCGATCGAGAAGTTATCGTTTCGAAGAAGTTTGCAAATAATCGGCTGATGTGCATGTTCGGCAAGGTTTCGCTTTAGACGCAAAAGCGTCGCCAAGCCAGCTGATTTGATACATAGTTGGTGTGGAAGTTTTTAAATGAATAAACCTATCAAATGGACACAAACTGATTGTTCGCAAATACCTCGGAAGTGATCTCGTTGTGCTTGAGACCGTGCAACATTGAGTATGCGAAAGTGCTAAAGTATTGTTCTACCTGTGCTAGAAGCTCTAAGGATGTACAGAGGACGTTATCAGCCTTCACTGGACCATCTCACAGTCGCGTACCAGGTCTCGAAAAGCCCCAGCTGTGCTAGTCGTTGTCCCTAGAAAATCAGCCAAAACCCAAATGTGAGTGGTCCTTAGTCTAAGGTGACTACACGCTGCGACTACTAGGAGTTTTGACGAATATTATTACTCTAACTGCCTCAGCCGTAGAATGCCCTCACAGCACACGTTGCTTATTCCCCGACCTTATTTCTATTCAAAATACACCTTGATATTACACCAGTACATCTATGTTGCTTGATAGCGCGCGACCACAGACTGACGACATGGCACAAAACGAACGGTTTGCCCACCACACTTTTCCAAATATTCAAAATAGGCACTAGGATGTCCATCAGTACATGCACCACTTTACTGCTACATTTTCAACTCACGAATCTTCACAATGGCTATCCTGAGGCAATTATTAAGCATCTCTCTATTTTAATTGTTATACACCACTGTACTATTGCATGCCAACAAATTGCTTTGGTAGTTCGTCGTGCCAAACATGACCCACTTACCTACGCAGATAAAGTACTCCTTAAAAGCTACTTATTCAAGCTAGTATACCGTCACATTAGGTTGTGCCAGTAACGATGGTCTCACGTATATGTTTTATAACAGATCCATGCAACTTGAAATAGACGAACGACGGTCTGCCACATACCTTCCTTCACTGGATTCAACTGAAGACGGCCAGTATTCTAAGCGATACACTGGGCACTCCGGATCAGCGCTTTTTGTCACTAGATGAGTCGGCAGTCCAACAATGCCCTTTCCTCGCAGCGTAACGTCTAACTCCAGTTTGTTCACGGTTTCCGGTAACCCATGAGGCCAGCTGAATGGTATTTCAATTACTTGACTGTCCATGCATGGGCAAGTTATTTCAAGTGTTCGCATAGGTGGTCCTGAAGTATGAGTTGATGAGAACTGTGATGATTTATCGCGTATAGTACAAACAATAAACTGCTCCTGTTTCCTATGCACAGGTATATGCATATAGTTACCTTGACGACAAGAAAATCAACGTGGTACAGGCATTCATGGTCCGTAGCTGATTTATCCATAGCATGCAGTCTTTGCATTGCTCTCATAAAGTTGACTGATAGTGCTGACCAGTGGTCCATTTCTAGCCAATAATCCCTTAAATGTAGTAAGCAAAGGCAATGACTAGCGTTTAGAAACATTTAATATGACAAGTTGGCTCAGAGAAGTAGCAAATTGGGATGTGCCTGTCGTGACGTCCTCAGTTTGGTTGCCTTTTGGCTGTCCATGGTCACAGATGGTCACCTTGATTCGGGTCTCCAAACATAACTATATGATCGAGTAGAATCTGATTTCCAGACTATATGGTTTCAATACACAAGCAGTGCATAGCACCATGACTTATTTCGCTGCTTCCAATTCGCTGCCTCGTTTGATTGAAGTTGTGGTTGCAAGGAGCTCAGTTAGCCAACGCTTTACGAAAGGATGACATGACCATTCAGTTGTTCCTTGTTGTCAAAGATAGGTTTAATAAAAACAACTGCCATGTGTTTCATTTATAAATTCCATCTGTCTTTTTACCTTGATCATGTGGATGGATCCATTCAGTAAATGGGACGACACTAGCTATTTTCTACTAACCTGGCTCAACTATCATCTGAACTTCGTACCAGACACGGAACGCCGCACCGAGCCGGTTTATTTGCTGAGCCGCAAGTGTACCAGCGCTCGTGTCGAATTGGAACAGCTGATTTTCCGCTCCTCTCGTCCCTTGTTTTCGGTGAGCAGCCGTCGCTATAATTTCATCGCTCAGCCTAAAGGGGTTAGAGACAGGATGGATGGTTGCAGTTTTGGCAGCTGCCAGATTAAGGTAGACATTCCTATGCCATAATTGTAATTCAGAGCGCAACTTTCACTATAATACATTTCATTATACTTTCATTGTACTTTTCATTATAATACTTGCCAACATTCTGTCATTTGAGCTCACTATACAAGCATGATTTTGCACCATTTATTCGAACATACAATCTCAAACTACCTCCTGTTTGTGCATGTGTGCAATTACTGAATGGAGAACAGTAGTACTTACATAAACGCAACCCTTCATTTCTACGGTATCCGGCAGCTACTTTCGGAAATTATGTACGAAGCGTTGTACCATCTCCAAGACAGCATTCAAATGGTAATCCTGTACCACGCGCTTCCTTTCTGCTGCATTTGTCAGTGCCCACTCATGGAACCAATTAACTTAGAATCTAGAAAACCGAACAGGTAAATGTTCGGGAGCACTGGCACCGGTAACAGCAGGGAAGTATCTGATAGGGACAGTCCGCTGTTCTAGGATTATTCAGGCTTTTGATCACTGAGTCACAACATCCAAGCCACGAAGTGGCTTATTGTTTGAGATCCTTGATCAAAAAGATGGAGCGTTGGCCACAAATTTATCGCTTAAGAAAGTTGCATAAGTGACCTTATGTTTAGTGGTTGACCATACAGTGGTTCCACAGAATTACGAGGCTATTTTTTACCGCTATTCCGTACTCCGACCGGCTTTACCACCACATTTAGTTTAGTGAATGAAGTTTCCCAACCCTACAAGCAGTCAACCAGCAACAGCACTGGGCTGTTCGTTGGAGCAACGGGCTTAAATCTGACTTAATCAAAACACCTATTTCATTAGTTCGTGTTATCTACTCGGAATAACGATTTATTACAAGACAGACAGCATGTAGTGAGAAGACAAAGAACAGAACAAAATCAGCTATTTTGGAAATTAAGAGTAGTAGTACATGCGGACGCAGAAGTCGTCACATGTGCACCGCGTTAACTAGTTCTGTGCGTGGATGGACTGAGTCACTGAGACGTGTAGATGGAACCTAACATAAAGTCATATGGTCGAAGTTACGCCAGACGACCAAGACCATGAGGAGCATAGAAATGCTTGCCTTGTCTGTGATTTGATACAAGCACACAAGCAGTGAGCTGTGAGCATCAGAACGTGTTGATAAATGTCACAATCTACTACTCCCCCACAGTCTGATAACCATGCAGCGCTGAACCACAGAAACCAGCATACTGCACATTTGGATAGAAACAGCCCTAACAAGTGAAGCGGATTATCCTTGCTTTTCCTTAGATATCGATCCTCTCTGCCCAAACCAACGCACTCCTTGTGTGGTCCTCCATATGGACTACAATTATTCGCTGATTTTTAAAAGACATTGCAAACATCACTTGCGGCACCGAGTTGACTGGAATCCGAAAATCAGTCTTGTTGATGACATCATCACTACTCTATTCGGGCTATCCGTACATAAGGAATCCATATCAAAACAAAGCTGTTTGTTAAATACATTGTTGCAGCTAGACTGGATTAGAATACACTCACTGATCTGTTTCTCCCGTTGATCGAAATGCGTTCGCTTTTTACTCACCAACAACAGTGCGCTAATGAGAGACTTCCTAAGAACACGTCCATAAGCTATGGTTTCCATAGAGGCGAGCTGTCTGATACTGTGTGATGAGCAACGTTTGAATGCGGATTGACACAAGTATAACAAAAGCATAATTCGTGGGGTTAGACAGCAGTGTGTTGTAATACATTGGTCTTCAGGAGTATTTTATGAATTGGTAAGGCGTCTCAAATAGCAACTTACACATCGTCCTCATCTTCAGCCACAAACGCGATGACACCGGAAAACTCTCCCCGTCGAGTCACGCGAAAGTAGAGTACGCACTCCTCCACGCTTCCTGGATATACATCCAAGCGTTTAGTTGGCGGCGATTTCAGCCAATAAATAGTTCCCATAGGCAGATCCGTTCCCAGACGATACGATTGCTTTTTTGACGTTGGGTTTGGTACCCTAACGGTGAAAGGGTGGAATTTAGCGCCAGCAATTTTCATACTCATCGGATCCTCTTCCTCTCCGATTCCGCATCCACCTACCGCACAATTCAAGCGAATGAGCCCAGAGGAGAACGGCTTGAGCCCGACACCGTTCAGGATATATTTATGACTACTCCCGTCCGTTACATTGAGTAGTTCCAATCCAGCCTGTCAGAAAAATTGGGTGCGTTATAATCGGATGTCTAGTGACAATGTATCAGCTGCTACGCAAAAGCGTTATAACTATCTTATTTACTTTCAAACACACATTGTGTACCTGAATTGCGGCTCTGTAGTGTTGGATGAGAGGCACCAGCCAGCATTTGCTACCCCCTGGTGTTAAGTCGCGTTTGGGTCATCTCTAGAGGGTGTCAGTGTCCACACAATCAGTCCCGGACTGCAGTCTTGAGGAGGTAGCACCTAGCATTTATTCAATGCATGTAATGAGTACGTTGTTTCACAAGTCCACAAACAGTGTTCGATTACAGGAAAGGATCTTCAACTTTCACAAGTGCCATCGGAGGAGCGCATATTCCACAATAAACACTACCATTAAAACAGCTTTCATCTCTGTGGACTTCTCATGGCATTTCCATAAATGTGAAATTAATGGGGCTACACAATACAGTCTGCCCATCCTAAACCCCGATCCATTTCCATCTTCACGGCAAACCGTGAAGGTGACTACTACGGTTTCGGGAATGTGCAAACCTGACTACATTCTGAACAGCTTTATAAACCTTTCCCAATATGTGTAATATGTTGGAAACATTTGGTTCCCATCGATATCCAAGTACATTAACAGAAGTTGGCCTAAATAACATATGAACTGCCGGAAGTCTGCAACCAACTTGTCCTTTTTTGTCACTGCACACACAAGGAAACTTGCGCATATGCCATCTATAATTTCCCCCTCACCATTGACTGATCACGGCATTCTCTATAGCACCAAAATTCATACTGGATGACTAAACTGCAAACGATCCGGGAGCTGAGCTGCGAAATTAGTAATACGCTAGTATCTTTGAATATGAGAGATTAAGAAAATTCATAACCTGGAAAGTTCTCGTGGTGTGTTAGGACAAGGTAGCCATAACGCTACTTATGTATACAAATGATCATACATAGTGATCGGACGCTGCTTGTCGGGGAACAGATAAATTCATTTGTTTATGAGCTACTGACCACAGTTTCATAGGAAGGCTGGTGAACACTGTTTAAGTAGTGACGTGTTCCGATAAACAATAATTAAATCAAGCTATGAGAAGGAATTGCCGTATTGTCAAGTCATCTCTTTGGTACGGATAACGTGATCACAGAAAGGATATGTCAGAAGAGCACTCTGTAGCTGCTAAACCAGGAGAATTCCAGTGAATTTCCATCTGTTTTACGGTGCGGTCACCTTCACCTTGTGGTCCCCTGAGGAAGCATTATGGCTAGGTTTCATTGGATGGACAGAATCATGAGTGGGATCTTCAGGATCTGGCGGGTCAGTATGAGCTCAACCCTTAGACCTTGATGCCGTATGCTGTACACTTATAAAGAAATGGACATATTTCCAAAGCGGTGGGATACATGCCCTTTTGTGGAATACTTGAGTTTACAGCCTAAGTTGGTTTGGATGCAGCGGCCCAACACTTTATTCTTATCCATTATGTTCCTTTTTATTACAGCTCGAATATACGTCAGTTATTTTACTGCTCCCCACCCTGTCCATATTCACTGCCACTCCTCTGCTCGGTGAGTAACTTTGCTGACGCTCGCTCCTGTTCACTTCATCCGCCCACGTCTTCTTTTAGCCTCCCTGTGTACGACTCCACACGACTTCTGAGATGGACAATATATTACAGGCGATGTTCAGAAGTGGTACTTACTTGTACTATATGGAAGACGGAATTAATTCACAACGTCCTCAGTTGTTCTCCGCTGTGGGATTTCGATTACAACGAGATTACGCTTCTATCCGGCTGTCAGGTCTGAATGGCGTACTCCACACAAGTCCTCATGAACATTGGAAGAATGGACAATGGACAATGAACAATGAATTTATACGGGTTGAGAAGCGTCGCTTTACAAGTCCTGTTGGATAGTTGGTGGGAATATCGAAACAACAATAATGAGAATAATGGTAGTAAAGCTGCTGGCACTTCAAATATGAAAATAAGGACCCACCGTTTGCTCCTAAGTAGTCCTGCAATCCGCCTAGATTCACAGAACCCTCAGTTAACATCAAATACTTCAAAGGTAAATACCAGGTGTAGGATGGAGACGTAGTGTTAAATAACAAAATGTAAGTGGATGAGTGCCTCATCCAACCGTCTTTCAAATACTGGTAGCGTCGGTGCAGTGACGACCGATTCTGGGAGGGCATTCCACGCGTGACAGACACGAATGGAAAAGAAATTTCTGCAGCACTCCAGACGACTGTATTGTTCTATGAGTTTTATTGAGTGGCCCCTCAGGTTTGTATTGCTGCTGAGTTGCAGTAAAAGGTGGCACACATGATGTAGGTCTCGCAGAATCAAGTATGCCATAATCAGGTCGCCTCGTAATCTGCGATAGCTTCCACTGAACAATCCCAGTCGTTGCAGCCTCTCCTGGTAGGAAAGATTGCGCATTCCAATTACGTTCTTAGATGCCCGACCTTGTGTCTGCTTCAGTGCATTAAGGTCCTGTTTCAGCCATGGATGCCAGGCTTGAATGGCGTATTCGACATGGAGGTGAACATATGCACTGTGCATTTGTCGAAATATGGAGCTGTTTATTTGTCCAAACGCCCGTCGCAACAGCCCGACATGTTGGTTCCCGGTCTTCGAGGCCTTTTCAGATTGCCTGGAGCAACACAAATCATCTTGAACCAGGACACCCAAGCCAAGTTCGACAGTTGATTGTTGCAGCAGATTTGTTCCGAGCCGGTATGAGTAGATGTTCTGATGTAGGATGGAAAGTACACTGCATTTACTGACGTTGAAATGCAGTAAGTTTTCGGCTGACCATTAATACACTATATCTAGGTCACTCTGAAGAAGTTGCTGGTCGGCGTTCACCTGGATCCTCCGCGGTAAAAGTGATGTGTGTTAGTCCTGGCGAGAAGGCGACAAATGTTGGTAAGTTCATTTGGTGGCAAGGCCCCCTGAAACTGTGGGGCGTATTGCATCTGCAGCGCGTTTGCTGCTTCCACAGGCGTTCTTGTTGGGCCATCAGCTATCCTGAGTGGAGGAAATCCTTGCTTCACCTTTCTTAAGCTATTGACGTGCTTGTACAGCAGTTTGTGGTTAGCGCCGAAGGTTTTTACGATGTTTTGCTTATAGGCGGCTTTGTCTTCTCTTAGCAGTTGAGTGCAGTGGTTACGTTGGGCTACGTAGTTGTCCCAAGTTTCTGGTGCTGGAGCTTCTCTGTACACTCGCCATGCTGCGTTGCGTACTGTCATCCATTTTCGAGTCCTGCTCCTAACGGAAGAAACTGATTTACACTTATTGCGAACTTTTATTTCTGAAGCCTCTGCAATCACCTGACGGAATTTGTTGACGAACTCGAGCCAGGTGACTTCCGGGGGTTCCTCGGCCAGGAACAACCAAGTTGTGGCGCTGACGAGTTGGGATAATCGATCGTACCTTGTGATGGTTTGCACAGTCTCATCGTTCTCATTCCGATATTCCGCATAGCAGACGAAGTTGAAACTGATGACTGCATGATCACTGCGACCCAACACATCAATAATATGCTCCTCGTTGGTAAGCACAATATCCAGCACAGACGGCCTGTTACCAGTTCTAAACCGAGTGGGCAAAACGATGTGGTAGTAAAGAGGAACAGTTGTTAGATCTTGTACATCAGCTTTGAATTGCGCTCTGATAGTGGCAGGAGTTTCTACACAATGTACGTTGAAATCACCCATGAAACGTAGGTGAGTATACTTTCTTTGTAAACTGCATCATAAAGCAGCTGCTAGGTGGCAGTCAGTTTCGGGAGTAGAGTTAGGGGGCGGTACACCAAGACAATAAGGCAATCGTTACTGCATTTGAACTGAAAGCGGCACCAAAGACAGTCGGGGAACTGCGAGTCTGAATCCGCCATGGTTTCGCACTGTAAGTCTATTCGGTACTACAGGATTATCCTTCTTCCTTTTGTGAGCCTATCGTTCCAGATAAGCGACATGCCCGGTAGCAAAACGTCAGCGTCCGTCATTCCCGTGTGCAACCAAGTTTCGGTGATACCAATGACATCATATAACCCGAAAGCTTGGTGATCTGACAGTTCGGCCAGTTTATTTAAAAAGACCCTGAGCGTTTCTATACATGCGGGCCAGTTTCTCGGTCATTGAGAGCCCACAGAGGAGTGAAGGGTTCAAGTGTGGGAGAATGCCGACCGATGGGAGGTCGGCAGTTCCTCCTTTTTTGCTGGGATAATGATACCTCGTCTGAAGCTTGATTCGGCCAAGGTGCGTCACAATCTTCGTTTAGACCTATGTCAGAGTTAATTAAAGCAGCAGTCAGGTCACGCTTCTGTACAGTCATCGATACGCTTACTGCTTCAGGTGCTTTGACATCTACACTTTGCAAAGCTTCTACGACCTTTAACCGAAGTTCAGAAGGGAGACTTTTCCGATTGCTCTACCAACGATCCAAAACATCCTTTGCTTGTTGCTCTGACTGAACCACAATCTTTAGGATTCTAGGGCCGTATCCTCTATAATTTGGTGAGAGAGGTATCCTGGTGAGCGATAGCGCTGTAATATTATCTAAAGAAAGTGTTTCACGAATGAACCGCCAATGTTCTAAATCGTGCTTTCCGGTCTCTTGAACATCTTTAGAAGAACATCCTGGCACGCCATGTATGAAGATTGTGTTTAGGCGGTCTTGTTATCTGTGTCCCACTTCTGTGTTTCTTTTTGATTTTCGCGCGCTCCAAAGGATATCAGGATAGATGTGTATCCCACAGGATCCGTGTTTTACTACGCTTGCGGAGAGCAAAACGTTTTCTACGTCGGTGAAGAATTCTAGAGTTACTCGGATAAGTCTGGGTTCTCCATAGTGTGGCGAGTTCGGATGACGAGTAATTCGTACTAAGTTTAAGAGCTCGGCTTTGACACTCACCAGCAAGTATAATGAGTTCCACTGGTCTTGGTCGTCCGATAATTTATCCCGCAATGTGATAGCGGAAGATTC